ATCCCGCATCTCGTTACCTTTATACGCGCACACGCGCGCGAGTGATTGTCTGGCGGAATTCACTTTGGATGAGCTGTAATTCGCGACAGAATTTCAAGTGAAACTCTGTATTCTGTAAAAGGGAAGGAAGACGGTTCACGCCGCAACTAAGCACAGACGGCGTCATTGTACGCTGTACTATTATTTAGAGCGAAACTTTTTACTATTACACTATTTTTAGCTTTCCATGTGTACACATAAGGTCGAGACTATAATATTATAATTAGAGAGTCATTATAATCTTACCAATTATAACTAAAATTACTTCTTAATTTACTTATTTATCTAACTGCTCGTGCAATTAAAAGAAGATTAATTCGAGAGCTGATATATTTGCAACTAAAATCGACACTTTTTATACATGTTTCTTGAGTTTATCGTGCTATTTATAATTCCTACTTTTAATATCTTCTAAATTGAAAATAAGGTTTCAATGAAAAATACTATGATATTACAGACTAGTATACATGTATTCATATACAAATTTAAGAATTATTGAATATTTTGTTTTGAAAATGCAACGGTGTAAAGTTTATATTTTGTAATAATATCTGAAATATAAATTTAAACACTCATATACCTCTTTCTATTATTTGTGCATCACTATTGGAGCAACTGATGTATAAATATATCATAAAAAAAATAATATTTTCGTATTTGTAATATTGTGCATATATATTTTATATATTTACCTCAACTTCGTAAATTAACATTTGTTATTTATTATTTAAGCAGTAAAATAAATGTATAGGAACGTAATTTTGCTTGGTAAATACCAGATTTACGAGTGGCCTCCTTAGTGCATCACTAGAAATATGACTTTGAGTTTTACAACCTTAGGTTGATTTACAACCTTAAATATAAGGCTGAAAATCGCGATGTGACTCTCCGTCTAGGAAATGGTACAACATACGCGATGCCGACCGTACACGTGTGTATCCAACGAATATTCGACATTGATTTTCTCGAGGGTAAATGTGAAAAAAAATAATTTCATTTCATATTATAGACTCCTTTTTGCACGCACGAATAGTCGTCCATTTACCGCGCGCTTTGGACACCGTACACGCGTATAAAGCTATGAATTTCCAAGTGCTCTCTGTCACACGATACGAATAAAGTCACACGTGGAACGGCAGGCCGGGTTTCGCGAATAATTGATCGCCTAAAAAGGACTCGAATGCCAAAGATACGGCTCTAATATTCCGAATACTTCGCTGCGCGCAAACGAAAGACGAATAGTTACATATTTATTCGGCAACATCCGCCGTTATGTCAAGTCGTTCCCATGCATGCGCCTCAATAGCGCAGCATAGCATAGAGCACGGTGTAATATCAAGTATTTGCCATCCGTCGTGCACGGGGGTGGTCGTAACGCCCGAAATTTTAACGGAATTAAACTGCCGTACGCGGAATATCCTTTTTGCGGCGGCGGGCCAATATTTAATCAATCGATCGTAATCAATCGGTGATGCTCGAGATTGATTTTACGTCGAGCTAATTACTTATTCGGGTCATACCGGGCGGCGGATAGATAGATAGATCGCCTGCCGGACGATAACTCGCCGCTCCGTCTATTCCTTCACCATCGCGTCTACTGCCTTCATTTCACGCTTCGTATTATTGATCATTACACAGGCACACATTGTCACTCGTGTGTCGGCGATCGCGAGCACGTGCCACGTATCGCGCCCGTATAATTTTCTCGTCGCTAACCAAGCTTTCGAACGAACGCGAGTCACAGAGTTATTCGGTAACAATGAGGCGCGTGTGCAAAATGCGTTTTCCGACGCGATATCGCGCATAGAGCGATAGAGCCGGTCAGAAAGCCGAATGGTCGGTGGAATTTATTTAATTTCACCCACGTGTGAGAGGGAGCGAGCTATGCAGAGTTCTCCGATAAGTATCGCCCGTTTTAATCACGCTGAAAATTGCCCGTGCGCCAATTACGGCGTACCGCGTTTAACGAAGATCGCTGACAACGGTGTTTCTGCGTGTCACGCGTGTCATACGAAAGGATCGCGATTTCTGCGCTATTGCGTCGGAACTGTGGCGCAACGTAAAAAATCCCCCTCCCCCCTCTCTCTCTTTCCTTTACTCGCGAAGGACTTATGCGGTGAAGAGAAGAAATCAGAGCGTATTTTACATTAGGCAGCTCGCTCGTTCGATAAAGACACGCGTACGTGTTCTTATTTGCCTTTTGTAGCGACGCGACGAAGAAGGCGAATGATTTATACGCGTCTTTGGCGAACTCCTCGCCGATAAGACCGCTTCGCGATAACGCGCGCCGCCTCGTCTTTGGCAGCCCGAAATAATTCTTCTATTTTCGCCATCCCTCATCGATGGATACGTATTATTGGCAATCTTATTTCATTCCCGAGCACTCTCGCGCTCGCTACTTTCTATGAAAATATTAATAGAATTAATCCCCGGAATAAAACACCCACGATGATTCATCGCAGGTATGCCGTCATGCGTCCAATATCACACGTGGTCGTACGTGGAGACGGAGGTATTTTCGACGGGAGGGGTTAATCGGGTACACCGACGAAAAATCGGAGGCACCGACGCGCGCGAGCGGGCCGCATGAATTATTCGCAGAGCTCCCCGGAGTTGTCCGGCTTCGATCTGGATTTGATCGTAATACCGCGTGCTCAGAAATATCCCGCTTTCCTATCGGACACGAGAAAAATGGACAAGCGAGACGAACATTATTCCCATTTCTACGTGACCCGGCATGGCAACCGAATATCAATATACTGTATATATATTCTCGCCGTTTACCTATTTCTTCGCGTAAACTGCCTCGATACACGGAAGAAAAAGAAGTAGCTCTCACAGCTAAACAAACTAGCTGTCCGTACAACTTTAGAAATTTAGTTACCAGACCTAGCCTTTAGATGTGGAAGCTGACTCCTATATGACTATAGTTGTGCACGGAAAACAAGAATTAACTATCGTTTCTCATTACCGAATTTTTCGTCTGGTTTTCTATTTTATTAGATGAAAAGAAATTTCTTTCCCGCGTACTCATTAATTCTATATTTGACCCTAGTTATGCAAGAAGGATCAGACCCACATGGAGTACGTTTCGAGAAACATGAAGATGAAAATTTGATATATGATTTAAAAAGTAACTATTTAAATAGCACTGAGGTTCTTCACAATCATTCAAGAAATCAAGCATGGTCCATTTTCTTCTTTTTAAGGATATACATTGACAAGCTTAAAAATGAGGTAAAAAGGTGCAATTAGTAAAAAATGGCATAACTAGTACAAAAAAACTTTTTTAATTCATTTTAGACGCCCATAAGGCTTGGATCTTATAGAAAGACGTATAAACTATCTTGGTAGCAAAATTTTGAAAATCATAATTTTCGGTTCAATGAGTTGCATCCTTCTTGCATAAATATAACCATTTATATTGTATACCTATAGAAAAATATTTGATATTTATAACTAATAAGTAACACCATAACTATAAATCACAGCGAAAGAATCATAATCGGGAAAACAATATTTCTCCAGTAAGTGTTATTATCGTGCCAGTGATAATTGCACACGCATATTGCTGCTACTACATTTGTAGTTAAAACCAAAGAGTACGGTCGAGGCTGCCGAAACTAGAATTTCTATCAATGCATATATTATTTTTTATGTTATTTCGCTTTAATCTTCCTAAAACGCGTGATAAACGTTTTACCTATCTTTCTACCTATCCAATATTTACTATGTGTGTGCGTATGTGTCACGTACGTTGCGTGCACACACGTACACACACACATTCTCATCAGTCTCATATCGGTATCATATCGGAATCGCGCACTTCGCACCGCATATTCTCACGTCCATCTCGTTTCGAGGATACGAGAGACGCGGCTCTCGTCATTCCCAATTAACTCACGTATACCATCTCCCGGTCCGCCCGTTGCTTTCAATCCGTCCCGCGATTTTTTGTCGCTCCATGACTGCGCGTGTTCTTTCTGTCTCTCCGCTTCCAACAAAACGTTCTCATATTCCCGTCTGAAGCACGTCGCGTTCCCGTTTACATTGAGATTTAACGCGCGGGGCTTATCTTTACGATTTGCGTCTTGCTCGGTCCAAGACGAGGGCCTCGCGGGTCCTACGTGAGGATCGACCGGTTCGCGGGACAGTCAAGCGGCGGCCTGAAAACGTGCTCCCGCCTTCCTCACGCCGAATTACCGCAATCTGCTAATAGATTCTGCCACGTGACCCGTGGACCGTGCGCAGCACGCACACGTGCAGGGACAGAAGCATTCTCTCTCTCTCTCCCTCTCGGTCGTACGACAATCGCGGTGGTGGGGCATTACGAACGAGCGAACGCGTTACAGAAGAGAGGCCACGCAAGTAGGAGGAAAACCGGAGGAGAAACGTTTTCAGTAGTGAGCGAGCCGCGATTGCGTTCCGTTTCGTCGTCGTCGTCGAGTTCGTCGCGTGTCTCCGATGGGATCTCGGCGGCGGCGGGGCGCGTTCCGCTCGAGATGCGCATTTCGGTCGTGCCGTACGATTTCGCGAGCTCTCCCGTGGGACAATGAAACAACCGAGCGCTGACGGAGAGGAGTGGCCTGATTAACGTTCCCCGAGGACACCGAAGGTGGATCTCGGCCGTGCGAGCGATTAGAAACGGTCGGCTTGAACGATTCATTTAGCGACAGAAGTGTCGCCGTTAATCAAACATCGTCTTCGCAGCGAGCCGCGCTTTTTGCTGTCCAGGAAGCTGCGTCCCTTGGACTTCCGCTCCCGACCGATCGGTCTTCCGAGAGATCTTCCGCGAGAGGTGCGAACAGATGTATAAGTAGAGGATATCGTTAAGCGGCCATTGTTTGGCTCGACGGCTTCATTAAAACGGGAGAGTCGATACTGCTCTTAGCCATTTCCACGTTCGGGAAAATTACAATGCGTTGCTCCGCAACGGCAGTGTCTCGAATACATCGCGTTGAAAGCGTTAGAGAGAGAGAGGTGCCTGGATGTTTGGATTATTACCTCTAATCGTATATGTGCGCGCTATTAGCTTCCACGGTATACCGTGCAAATAAACCCGCGTACACACACCGGTCGGTTGGACAATATTAATCAACCGTGGAAAAACGACACTTCGACTCGTATATTTCATGCGAGGCGTAAAAGAAGAATGTTAGGCACGCGTTGAGCTCGACTTACGTCGCCGGTTCGTATTAGCTTGACAGCACATGCAAAGCCGCTGTTAAAACGCACGGATCAACCGTGATAAACATTCGCGTGTTTGCGTATTATTAATGCCGACTGGGAAAAGCGGACAAGATAAAGCCGGTTTTCTGGCTCGGTGAACGAAATGACGACTTGGTGTGACATTCGCCGACTTTCGAGCCGATACGAGTCGTTAAAGATTCGAGTCCACCGCGTCGATTTGAACTCGCTTCGTACCAGCATCGATTGAGCCTCGGTGAGTTCAATTTTCGATTTACAGGGACAGGGAGCGAGAGAGAAAGAACGGGTGGAGAAGCTCGCAGGGAGAGGGAGGTGAAATTTAATTGATCGGATTTAACGCGCGACGTTGGCGCGATATAAAAGTTTTATCAGTCCGGCGATATCGCGGGGAGGTTCCTATTGAGACACGCGAACAATCGCCGCATGCCGTTTGCATCGGCCGCGTGCACCTTCAATGGCGCGCAGTGCGCAAACGACGCATAATAATCGCGCCCCACCGTGACCGGGATTCGAGCGAGGGATTTGCCGATTATCAGGTTCGTTATTATTAATAGCACGCGGGAGCAGCGCGGGTCCTTGTAACCTTAATAACGGGACCCTTTGTGCGGGCAAACAACGTGAGACTATTAGATTTGCGTGAAAACGGATAGCGCGAATTCCTATTTGTATACGCAAAGCGAGAATGCTCCGTTGTGTGCGAATATTTCCGTCGCCCCGAGGTTATTTTTCACGTGTACGCAAAACGATAACGGCACATTTTTCACTCCGTTGGCATCGCGCAATTATAAAATGCAAAATGTATCTCGCGCCATTTTCGCGAGTCTACGCACGCCCCTAAATTCGTCGCCTCTTCCCCCGTTTTTTTTTTCCTTCGTCACTCTGTTTTTGTCGTTATTTGTTACATTTTTTAACGCACAGCCTTCTTGAAACGTGCCGAAGTTGTACGTATGGTTGGTGAGGAAAAGGTTGCGACACTTTTTTTTCTAACGAGTTTCGCGACGCATCCAAGAGGAAAACGTATCTCCTGAGAATTACTAAATATCGACTAAATCGCGGGTATTGCGGTATGTGCAGCCGACCATGACGAATTTTTGCGGATCGATTATACAGGGAGAAAAATTTTGGTTTGGGATTTAATGAAATTTCTTTAATTGAAACAAATTTGTCTCTTGGAACGGGGCGAACAAATGAATGTTTGATGCAATAAACAGAATTGCTTGGTCTCTCTCAAATAATAACTACCATTACGTCAAATAATATATTTCTTTTATATTTTCATCCAAACATTACAGTGGTTGTCAAAAGTGATAAATTATTTGAAAGAAATAACACCACGTTAAAAAAATATTAAAGAATTTCTTTGTTCCAGTGGAACAATATTTAATATATAATAAAAAGTAAATTTTTCTTTCGTTAAAACCAAATATTATTTCTTCTAAATAATACTGTTTTTTTTCTATCAACGTCCTAGACAATATGGTTTACTCTAATGAAACAATATTTTCATTCTAATATTTGATTTTAGATTATGTTGTTATTAGATCCAAATTATGTTTATGTTTTTATTAAATCCAAATATGTTTTTATTAAATCCAAATCGAACAAATACGTATACTAAATCCGAAGAAACATTTTTCTCTGCACAGATCGGGTAATCTTATCGAGAATATTTGATGGTGTGGTTAACGTGAGCAAAGGCATGAAATCCTGATGCGAACGAGGCATGAAAGCGGCGAGAAGAGTCTCTTGCCGAGTCACTCGTGCTTATCGAATTCTAATTAGTAATTCATATGATCACCCGTTGATTCCGACTAATCACGAAAGATCCTGATTCCGATAAATGAACGTTAACAAGCTCGATTAGCCGCAAAATCTCGAGCCGGGCAAGACAACCGCACGGAGAAAAATAACTTAGGAGGACAGCAAATGTAAAATGACCTAAAAATTCATTCCTGAAATATCGAACAGTATTTGAGAAACTTTTTATATTTTTATTCACTAGCACAAAGTTTGATATCCCACTAAATTATTTGTCCTTAGTGCATTGCAATCGACAAAGTTCTCCGACCGATTGGAAATAATATCGAGCGATCAATCGCGAGATTCTCTCGCGTGATGACCGATGGTGTTATTTACATGGTGCTTAAGAGAGATCGATGAAATTGAATGAAATATTGTCTGCTACATTTCGAACGCCTAAAGCTATATATCAAATATTAGCATGTGAACGCAGAATGGTTTGTATCACTTTACCGGAAACTAGTTAAACCGACACGCAAAACCTGATACGGCGAATAACGCGATGCCATGTCATCCATGACAAACATCTATCTGGAGGTCACTTTCGATGACGGCACCACTTTTTTACACTGTCGTGTTTATGTATAAATAAATTTTCGAATTCTATCTGTACCCAATATACAGTATTGATAAGGGACAATAACACCTTTTATATATTTCTTTTCATAACGCACATTATCACGCTTTTGATCACACAATAATCGAGAATCGTTTGTTCCTGAATTATTCGCTCGTGCTTTCAATCTCACGTTTCCGGAATAAAATACATTTAATCGGCGTGTCCGATTGTGTGTTTAATTTATCGTAGATAAAAATACATATTACTTTTTCGACATTCAAAATCCCTCGTTTTCCACTTAATATGCGCGCGCGCGCCATATATATTGAATTGTTTTTCGACAAAACTGGTTACGCGAAAGATTGCTGCTCCCGACCGGCGGGAAATTAGGAACGACGGGGAATCGTTGTTAAAATCAACGAAATTCTAAACTGTGCTCGTACCACGTCGGAAGCAGCTGAATACGCATTAACGCGAATTCACGTAGGAATACGCTGAGGGAAATTACAGTTATTTTCGGCCTTCTTTTCATCGTTTTAACCATAAGAATAGTAGTAGCAACATATTACTTAATAAGGTTATTATCATTGACACTATAATAACGCTTACTAGAAAAATTATTCCCCCTGTACAGAAAAAAAGTGCTACAATCAAGTAAATATAATTACCTGTTTTTAGATAGAGTAATATTTTCATCAACTTAAATATATTTTAATAGTTCGTAGTAAATACTTACTTGAACGCGGTAATATCTTGATTTGTAAATGAATTACTAATGGGTGAGTTATGTCCCCTGAGAGGGGACAACGAAGTGCAAAGGGTTATATTAAGTACCAAATATTTTTTCTATGCTCCGAGAGGAGACGCGAAGTAGTGCCGGCAACACAAACGGATCTTCCCCAATTGCATGGGTAGAGCGCAGTCAATGGATCTCGATCTGTCCAAGTGCTCCGTGTTTGTCACCTTAAGATCTTATCGCGTGAATAACCATTACAATAGAATGCTCCTTTCACGTAACGACATCCGACACACACTCGAATGCCGCGTGCGAATCGCAACAGACGATCTCGAGACGATTGACACTTCGCACTATCCTCTCGATCGGAGCATCGTCGCTCGCTTAGCAACCGTATGTATTCTGCAACGTTATTCCGGATTTTGTCGCGAGCTCGCGAGCACGAGCAAGTCGGTCGCATCGATCGAATTTCGTGCTTGGGGAAACGTGCCTCTGAAAAACGTGCCAACGAAACGTGGCCCCGAAGAAACCTTCCGCGGACGTCTCCTCGCGTAATTTATCGTCGAAACCCATGTTCGCGCTGAGTCAAGCGCGCGTTTGTTCCGCTGCTTAATTATAAGGATCGATCAATCGTGAACACTTTCTTTCTCTTTCGCTCGCTAGCTAGTTACCTCACTTCTTTTCCCGCGTATTTATACAGCCAGTCGTCGAAATTCAGCAACGTTCAATTTGCCGATATTCGCGCGCGTCCAGCTTCGCCGACCGAATATTACGTTCCGCTCGGCGATTTTGAATTTCGCCCGCCAGAAGGCGGCAATTTCCTCGCGAGCGCACCCGGTATTTCCTCCGGCGGAGATATTATCGCGGCAATGAAAGAGCGTTTTGCATGAATCATGCGGAATCGGTTATGACGACGCGGATCGATTGTTAATCGACGAGCGTATTTTCCGTGATTTTGTCATTTATCGTAGTAATAGCGCGTCCGATTGCGCTAATCTGAGGATCGATCTGTGTATATCATAATACAGAGAGAATGACAAAAGTGAGTTCTTGTTTTTGTTTGCGTAACTTTCGCCACGATGAAAATGCGATGTATCTCGCGTGAGATTGTCCGACGAATAATTTCGAAGGACATCAAACGTTGCCGTAGGGAGTCATATTCTCACTTTGCGTAAGAGTGAGGAACCGAGACTTATTGTCACACCTTTTACATAATGATACAAAATTAATTGAACTGTCATTTTGACTAAGAATATCATATTTATAAATAATGTTGCAATAACTAAATACAGAAAAAAAACGAGCTGATAAAAATAGATACGGGAAAATATTTGCTCATCATGTCCAATTTTTAAGAAGTGTTCGTACCTCGTGCAATGCATTAGCCACGAGCCATTTCGTATGCCCAACTAATACGATACCAACAACGTATACTAGAGATAGAGAAAAACTATCGAGAAAATGCACCTTTATTTATTGAGATACAAGCCTTGTGACAACTAACCCGCGTGACTTTTAGTCCCGGCCTCCTCGATCGCGCGTATTTATTCACATCGGATGAAAATGCAAGAGGTGAGAAAAGTCGACGAAGGTACACGAGCGACCCCCTGCAGACGAAGCGGCCGAAGATCTCCGCTTTTTTGTTTCCCTCGGCTACGACGACCATGAAATAATGCGTCTCGTGTCATTTAAAGCGGTCGTCCGGCGCTCCGACGGTTTATGTTAAGATCCTTCAACGATAGCGTCGAGACTGACGGTAAATTAGAGGAGGAAGGTTGAACGTAACGTTTAAGTGTCTCATTACCGACAGAATCTTTTATTCACAGCCGGGAGATAATAAACATACGAAAGGCGGCGGGAGAGATAAGCGAGCGTTTTAAATATTCGAGCACGACGCGGAGTTACGTGTCCTGAATGCGCCGCCGCGAACGTCGTCACTTGAAAACCTATTGTCTTTTCGCAGTAAGGCGCTGTAAAACCGCCTGGGGGAGGGCATGGAGGGAGGTGGCGCGTTATTAATGACAGAGACGGACAAAGCGGGGCGATAGCGTGCGGGAGAAATAGCGCTGAAAATAAGACGTTCGCGAAAAATATACGAGCGTCGGCCGGTCGGTCGGCGTGCAGAGCTGCAACGCGAGAGGGTAGAACCGCGGCTGAAATGATACAGCATCGCTTCTCTCACGCTCTCTCAGGCGCAGTTCACGAGGCGAGTCCCTCGGGAGCCATGAACCCGCGTCGTTTCATTCGGTAGATAAATCTCGCGTTATCTCGCTCGTTAGCAGCGACGGTTGCTTTAAACGTTGCTGCTTTATCAGCCAAGTCCACGATCCTGACGGATGTTCTTCCGGCGCGCTATCGAGTCGCACGCCCCCGCACCGACCGAGTCTCCCCCTGAGGCGGGAGGGCAAGGAGGGAAAACGGCGAGCCTCGAAAAATAATTAATACCGAGAACCGCCCGTCGATCGCGAGAGTGGGGCCGCGACACGTTCGCGCTGCGAAGAATTAATCAGTCCGTAATGGGTGCACGCGGGGCCCGCGAGATCCGCGATTGCCGCGATCATCAAACACGTCATAGACGACCGAGACTCCGCTCGTCGGCGCTGGAACTTTCCGAGTGACGCTAAAAAACCGTAATTAAACGCTCCGTGGTATTGTTTCCTGATGCGGTAAAAAACGTCCCCCCCCTCCCTCC